AAAAAAAAAAAGATCCTATGCAACATCTTCCTATGAGGCCTTCTTTATTCTTGTTAGTATGAATTATGCTCTTTTTGCTCCAACAGCATGTTTATATTTCTATTTAGCATTTATTTCATTCTCTTTGACATAGTTAATGTATTAGTCTCCTTTTCTGGCTTATAAGTGCTTTGAAGGCAAGGACAATGCCTTTTTCACAATTCACAATTTCACATATAGTGCTTTCTATATGTCTTATACATATCAATACCAAAATTTTAATATTAAAGTATATATTAAATAGATTTATATTATGTTAATAAATATATTAAAATATAAAACTATTAAAATAATAAGCAACACTATTATAACACTAAAAAACTCTAACATTAATGAAAACTTGACAGTCATAAAGATTTTTGAAAGTTTAGTCATATAAGAAACTAGATTAAGGCCTCATTAAGCAAGCCTCCCACCCCTATCACATCCCACTCTACTTACTAAGGATGAGAACTGAAAGTAACAAGGCCCAGGTTTGCTGAGTTAGGGTCAGTCGTTATATCAATCTCATTCTTGTTAATTTTTTTCAAGAAACAACATAATCAGACGATTACAAGCCATCCAAAACACTGGGAAAGGTTATGAGACCCAGAAACTCTTCATAATGCTGAGCAGAATTGATGACTACCAGAAAAAGATGATGCAGGTCTGGACCAACAAGCAGAAGTCTTTAGAGCAGAAACGGAATCAGTGCCTGGGGAAAATGATGTTCTTATTTAGCCAGGTAACTTGTTTTCTATTGCCCCTCCCCAGTGTGTTGTAAGAAAAATGAAAGTGGTAAGCTTGGAAAATAACATTTACCTGGAGCTACCATTTTTATTAGTCTCCTAGGGCTGCTGTAACAAATTACCACAAACCTGATGGCTTAAGACAACACAAATATATTCTCTTGCAGTTCTGGAGGCCTGTTCATGAGATCAAGGTGTTGGCAAGGTTGTTTCCTCCTGGAAGCTCTGAAGGAGAAATTTGTTTCATGCCTCTCTCCTGGACTCTGGTAGCTGCCGACAATCCTTGGCATTCCTTGGCTTGTAGCTGCATAACTCCGACCTTTGCCTCTGTCCTTCCCCTGGCCTTCTTCCCCATGTGTCTTATGTCTTCTCTTCTGTCTCTTATAAAGCCATGTGTCATTGGATATAGGACCCACCTGGTTAATCCAGGATGATCTCATCTTGAGATCCTTAATTACATCTATAAAGACCCTTTCCCCATATAAGATCACATTCATAGATTCTGGGAAACATATCTTTTGAGGAATTCACCAAGTAGGGTACCTGGCTGTCTCAGTCAGTGGAGGATGCGACTCTTGATCTTAGGGTTGTGGGTTCAAGCCCCACATTGGGTCTGGCGATCACTAAGAAATAAAATCTTAAAAAAAAAAAAACAAACCCGGGGCGCCTGGGTGGCTCAGTCGTTAAGCGTCTGCCTTTGGCTCAGGTCATGATCCCAGGGTCCTGGGATCGAGCCCCACATCAGGCTCACTGCTCAGTAGGAAGCCTGCTTCTCCCTCTCACCCTCTCCCTGCTTGTGTTCCCTCTCTTGCTGTCTCTCTGTCAAATAAATAAATAAAAATCTTAAAAAAACAAACCATCAGAAAGCAAAATTTAATAGAATGAGTTTACAATAAAGGAGTTAAAAGTTTATTTAACTTGCTTACATAGCACCAGGCATGGAAGATCCTGTTAAACTCTGACATCCACTCATTATGTCCCAGAGCTCGTCTGAGATAACCATTAGTATGCTTTTGGGAGTGAGAGTGACCTTCCAAAAACTTATAAAGCTGAGATCAGTTCTTTGCTCTGGGATTACATGCTCCCATTACATGCTCCAGCATGGAGTTCTAGAACATTCTTGGTGTTCTAGGAATATTTTATATCTATATATCCTTTTCTTTCACTAAATTAATTTATGAAATTATTTGAAGCTTTAGAAGGTACAAAGAGATTTCTTATCATAGCTGATCCAAATCAGACATACTCTGAATTTTCCGCAACAGTTATATTTCAAATATTAAAGCTCTTTGACCAAAAAAAAAGGATATTTTTGAGGTTTTGGTTTGGAAAATATGGCCAGTGTATGTGGAATAAAGCAAGCTGAATTGGCAGTGTCATGAACTAACAGGAATCACATATCTAGGACATTTCAGAGGATGAATAAGGGTCTTGGGTCAGGGGATCCACAATCTAGATGATGAAGTGATTATCAAGGCATAAGAAGGAAGAGGAAAAAGCAAAAGGGAGAAGAGGGTAGAAATAAATAAATACCTTACACTGGTCAAGAGGTTGGTTCTCCTACCAGATTGTGTGGGTTCAAATCAGCTTCGCCACATATTAGCTAAGAGACCTTGGGCAAGGTCTAAATTTTCTGAGCTTCAGATCTCCAAATGTAAGATGAGGATAATAACAGTACCCACCTCATAAGATTGTTGTAAATACCAAATGAATTAATATATAAAAAACATGTAACATTCAGCATGTATTCAGTAAATGTTAGCTATCATTAGATTTGCATAGTGCTTCACAATTTATGAGGTGCTTCCATATATATTATCTTATCCAACACTCACAACAACCCTGTGTTATTATCCTTGTTTTAGAAATGAGGAGAGGGGCGCCTGGGTGGCTCAGTTGTTGGGCATCTGCCTTCGGCTCGGGTCATGATCCCAGGGTTCTGGGATCGAGCCCCACATTGGGCTCTCTGCTCAGCGGGAAGCCTGCTTCTCTCTCTCCCACTCCCCCTGCTTGTGTTCCCTCTCTCGCTGTCTCTCTCTGTTAAATAAATAAAATCTTAAAAAAAAAAAAAAAAGAAAAGAAATGAGGAGAAATGTGCAGATAAAATTAGCAACTAACCCAAAGTCACAGGAAATGAGAGGACTAGAACTACAGCTTATGCAAGACCAATGGGTTTTTCTGTTTGTTTGTTTTTTGAAGATTTATTTATTTATTTGAGAGAGAGAGAGCAAGCAGGAGAGTGTGGGGGAGAGGGGCAGAGGGAGAGGGCGTCTTAAGCAGATTCTATGCTAAGTGCGGGGCCCTACCCAGGGCTTGATCCCACAACACTGAGATCATGACCTGAGCCAAAACCAAGAATCAGATGCTTAACCGACTGTGCCACCGAGGCTCCCCAGGACCAGTGTTTTTATATAACATAGTGGCACCTCTAAAATTGTGTGATAGAAGTGGAAGTATGATTGGAGGAAGAGAGAAAGAGGATGGAAAAAAAGAATTTGCAAGTCCATGGAAAATAAAGAGTCATAGTTTAGCTAGCGCCAGCTCAGAACTTCCTAAAGACTCTGACCTTTTTCTCCCCATGGTTTCCTTTTCTGATTTATTTATTTTTAGCTTCAAGGGATGTATAAATTGAGTCTTAGTCAACCTATCCCTTTGATCATCGACAAAAAGCAGATACCTGCCTCTACCAAATTTGTCCAACAGCCATTCCTAGAGCTGCTAATAGAAGATGACAGAAAGTCTGACACATTCAAGAAATTTCGGTATGTGCTTGAAAAAGACTGATACTAAACCTTCTTTGGATGATATGTTGGACCTAACACTGGTTTTTTCCTGCCCAAGAGTTTCCCCTTCCCCACAATTATGATATGGTGCAGTAGAGAGTCTAAGGTAGCATAGATTTTCTTAGCCAATTTAACAAGAAGCTTATTTATGTATATTTCTACTTAAATATTTAACATCTAATTTTGAGTTCCTTTAAAAAAAAATGATGCTGGTCTGCTCCTTGTCTGCTCTTTTCCAGGAATGATGTAAGTCCAGTTTTCCCTTTAGTGGCTCCCCTTTGTAACATTCCCAAGACAGGGGCTCTCTTGTTCCTACAGGTGACATGACAATTATGGTCCTGGAGGGAGATAAGCTGATGACATCCCTTCCTTATAATGTGTCTTGGGTGCTTCATCTCACATGCAGGGGCTTACCCCAAAGATTCACCTAGGTATCTATTTTTCCATGTCATTAATTGTGAATGCTAAAGACTTCAAATAAATGGTTCGACCAGGCAGAACTTTTTGAATAAAGTGTTAGAATTCTTTTATCACACTTTTGAACTTATATCTAACTGAATCATAACTAGTGTCAATAGATTTTTCCAGATGAAAGATTAATTTCATTAACATATGAGGACATACATTTATAGATTTGTGGAACATTTATCAATATGTTATATTCTATTTGTATTTGAATTGTTTTACTTTTGCTCACTTAATAAATTAGTTCAACTTCAAAAAAATTAAATAAATTAAAAAATAAACCTGGTCTTGTAAAAAAAAAAATGAAACTGATTTTCCCTACCATGAAACAAATTATTTTAACCGAATGAAGAAACTTAGAAACATTACTTTTTTCCTGTTTTAAAAAAAAGAAGGTAGGAGCTTTGGGAAGGAAGGGGAAAAGAACATTTCTGGGGAAAAAAACAGTCTAGATATGGTCTATATATTCCATGAAGCTAAGAAGATGGTTTAAAATAGATTACTATGTGAAGTCATGAAAATGCAGCTTTCAGGGAAGAAAAAAATTTTTTCAGCAAATTCTGCTATTTTAATCCATCTCTTAGTCAAAGGGGGCATAGCTAATGTTCTTCAGTGCCAGAGAGGACATTATAGGACAAGATAGTGGGGAAAAGAAAAGGGGAAAATAAGATTCATACATTTTAATTGGATATGGAGTTCAGGAGAGTTTGGCACTTTCAATTAGTGTCTCTGATTCTCTAGACAAAAAGACCAAATAGGAGCTATCTGGAATGCTGATCTGTCAACTTCAAGCTACCCAATAACAGAGAAGATATCAATAAATTCGCTCTGGGCCCAGCTGGGTGGGTACCCAGATATTCCTATGCTACTCCAGTTAGATGTTCAGTCTACCTTCAGAAAATCTCTTGCATCCATTAAATCACAGTAAGTAAAGGGATGGGAGCACTTTGGTAATGGGGCCTTTGGTCATATACCTTCTGTTTCCCTAACTTGACCTTATCTTACAGCACCAGGGAGTGACCAAAAGCAGGTGCTTGGTGTGAAGTTAGACATTACCTTTTCCAGATGCCATATAAATAGAAGTATACAGTATGTAACCTTTCGAATCTGGCTTTTTTCACTTAGCGTAACTCCTGTGAGGTTCAGCTATATATGTATCACCAATTCATTCCTTTTTATTTACTGACTGGTATTATTCCATTGTATGGCTGTACCACATATTTTCATCCATTTACCAAGTGAAAGACATTTAAGTTGTTTTCAGGGTTGGGCAATTATAAATAAAACTGCTATAAAAATTCCAGGTGTTCTTTTTTAAGATTTTATTTATTTATTTGAGAGAGAGCAAGCGAGGGAGAGAGCACAAGCAGGGGGAGCAGCAGGCAGAGGGAGAGGGAGAAGCAGGCTCCCTGGGGAGCAGGGAGCCCAATGTGGGGCTTGATCCCAGGACTCTGAGATCATGACCTGAGCCGAAGGCAGATGCTTAACTGACTGAACCACCCAGGCACCATAGAAACAGGTTTTGGGATGAATGTAAGTTTTCACTTCTCTTCGATAAACACCCAGGAGTGAGACTGATGCGTTAGATAAGTGTTATGTTTAACTTTTATAAGAAATTGCCAAGCTATTTTCCAAAGTGACGTTTCATCTCTACATTTATTCAGCAGGGCTAGTTCTTGCCCTGCCTCTGGATGAAAACCTAGGTGGTTCTGTGACATTTCTGACAACTTCACAGTAATATGTTTATCTGGTTAGTAAAATGTCTAGAACCATGTATAAGTAAACCTTTGTTTTGTTTTAAAGTTGAGGCTTCTAGGGCGCCTGGGTGGCTCAGTTGGTTAAGCGACTGCCTTTGGCTCAGGTCATGATTCTGGAGTCCCGGGATCAAGTCCCACATCGGGCTCCCTGCTCAGCAGGGAGTCTGCTTCTCCCTCTGACCCTCTTCCCTCTCGTGCTCTCTCTCATTCTCTCTCTCTCAAATAAATAAATAAAATCTTTAAAAAAAAATAAATAAAGTTGAGGCTTCTATCTTCCAGCTAAGACTATTAAAACTTATAGTCAGAGAGGGAGGATATGAACAGCTTCTTTTTTCTGGCCTACTGCTTCTGTTCCTACTTTTCTAGCTTGCTACTATGGGACCCTTTAGGGATTAGAGCTCTGGAGAAGAGAGAGAAATGGAAAGTTCTTATTGACTATTACTGTTGTGTTTTCTAACATCATTTCTTCCTGGATGTGGCAGATTTCTAAAGCTGACTCTTTCATGAGGTACTTTGGTCAGTTCCTTGGAGATTGCCATCACTGGAGATCTCTTATCTGCAGATTTCTTGATATTGTCAAATACATTTCTATTCTGGGGTGTCTAGGTGGCTCAGTCAAGCATCCAACTCTTGATTTCAGTTCAGGTCATGATCTCAGAGTTGTGAGATTGAGCCCCACATCAGGCTCCATGCTTCTCTCTCCCTTCCCTCTCCTCCTCCCCCAGTTGCATTCGCTCTCTAAAATATATATATATATATATATATATATATATATTTCTATTCCAACTGGTTGTTGACATTTGTGATACCTCCAGCTTTTCTCTGCTGAGTCTGCTGAGATGTGTTTGCATATTTATACAGCCTTCCTGGACAGAATCCATGACAACCCTATGCCATCTTTCTTGGGTAGATGTATATATATATGGCCCACATCTAGTCTACAGGAAACAGTGGAGCTTACTTTGTCCCGGTAAACTCTAAAGTCAAAGCTTATCCCAATGCAGCAGCAGCTTCTTCTCTGCTTCTACTGTTAGTGCAGCTAGCCAATCAATCACTACCTTAGCCTTTTTTAGGGATTGAATCAGGCCCCATTCTATGGGCCTCCAAAATGCAGGGGCCTGTGGTAAATTCTTAGGGTAGAGAAAGGATAGGAGTGCTCTTAAAATCTTCTCCTTGACTATTTCATACTCTGAGAATGAGTTAAAAGATTAAGACTCAATTACTTTGTGGGCGCCTGGGTGGATCAGTCCGTTAAGCATCTGCCTTCGACTCTGGTCATGATCCCAGGGTCCTGGGATCGAGCCCCACATTGGGCTCCCTGCTTGCAGGGAGCCTGCTTCTCCCTCTCTTCCCCACTTGTACTTTCTCTCACTATCTCGCTCTCTGTCAAATAAATAAATAAAATCTTTAAAAAAAAGAGTCAATTACTTTGTAAATCCCAGTTTAGCACTCCTCTTTGAAATCTGGTATCTATTGTTAGGGTTTCCAGATTTAGCAAATAAAAATATAGGACACCCAGGTAAATCTGAATTGCAGATAAACAAAAATGATTTAGGGGCACCTGGGTGGCTCAGTCAGTTAGACGTCTAACTTCAGCTCAGGTCATGATTTCAGGGTCCTGGGATCAAGCCCCGTGTTGGGGTCCCCACTTGGCAGGGAGTCTGCTTGTCCCTCTGCCCCTCCCCCAACTCATGCACATGTGCGCGTGCTCTCTCTCTCACTCAAATAAAATATTTTTTTTTAAAAAACAGAGGTGATTTAGTATAACTATGGTCCATGCAATTTTATACTTATACTAAAAACTTATTTGTTGTTTATCTAACATTCAAATTTAACCAGGCATCCTGTATTTAATCTGGCAACCTTTCCATTGTGCTTGTCAAAACGTTTTCATGTGCTACTACATACAAAATATGTATTAGGAGTTTCCAACTTGTATAGTTAGATGCCTGAAAACTTTCAGAGTAGGAGATGGTAAAAACAGTGAAAAAATTAAGACATTATAGAAAATAGGAGAACCGAAGTCTTGGATTTTTGCTATTTTTTCACTAAAAATAGAAACAGAAAATATGCCGTTTTAAGACATCTTAAATTAGTAATAATGGGCACTATATGATCAATTACTATTTGCCATCCTCCCCTTTTTTTCCCCACTAGAATCTCTTCAAGGTCTTCCTCCCTCAAAAAGGATTATATTTGTTTTACTTTATGGAAGTTAAAGTATAAACCAAGAGACTTTCTTTCCCTCTGGGTTTAGTTATTTCTACCATCCTTTAGATCTCAGTTATTCTGAGCTAACTCCTCCCTATATGCTCCCACAGTATCTTGTAATTAACAGTATCCTAGCACTTACCATTCTATATTGTGATTGTGTCATTACTTACCTGCCCTGATTTTAGACAATATGTTTTAGAGAGATTAGTTTTGTTGAACTGACTCTACTTTTGCTCTGCCTGCTTTCCTTTCAAAAATATTTACTGACTACTCTTAGTATGTACCAGGTACTAGAACTAGGCACTGAGATACAATATGTGGGAAGGGTTTAGGAGATCATAGATGCCAGGCAGAAGGAAAAAATATGTGTAAAGATCCAGGGCCAATAGCATATTGCTTCGTTTACTTTATCTCCTAAAACAAAAACAAAAACAAAACTAAAATAAACAATACCTCCCCCTACTGCTCAGTTCCCCTTCTTCCTATTTCCAACAGAGGTGACTGGAACTAAAATTTCTCTTCCGACCTGGAATTAATGCTTGGAGCTACTGCAATCTTTGGTAATCCTGAGGTGATAACCACAGGATAATAAGACAATACACCAGGAATACAGAGAAGGAAAATAAATAAAACCCTGCCCTTGATCCACATCAAATTGCTAGAACAACCCTGAGTACACCTGCCTCTGGGCTTTTGTTAAGTGAGCAATAAATGGCCTTATTTGCAACCATTCTTAGTCAGGGATTACAGTGATTAGCAGGTGATTACAATACACCAGGGCTACCTATAGTCATGTGAGCTTGAAAAGAATGTGTAACCTGCTATTTTTTTTAAAGATTTTTTATTTATTCACTTGAGAGAGAGAGAGACAGGGACAGAGAGGGAGAGCATGAGCAGGGGGAGTGGCAGGCAGAGGGAGAAGCAGGTTCCCTGCTGAGCAAGGAGCCCAATGCAGGACTCAATCTCAGGACCCCGGGATCATGACCTGAGCGGAAGGCACACGCTTAACCGACTGAGCCACCCAGGCGCCCCTGTAACCTGCTATTGTTGGATAAAGTAGTCCAGAGATGTCACTTATATCCAGTTGATTGATGGTGCTGTTGAGTTCAGCTATATCCTTAATAATTTTCTGCCTGCTGTATTTGTCCACTTCCTATTGAGTGTTAAAGTCTCCAACTATAACAGAGGATTCACCTGTTTCTCCTTGCAGTTCTATCAGTTTTTGCCTCCTGTAGTTTGATGCTCTATCGTTAGACAAAACATTAAGGATTATTATGTCATCTTGGAGTATTGACCCCTTTATCATTATTAGATACCCCTCTTTATCCCTGATAACTTTCCCTGCTCTGAAGCCTACTCTGTGTGAAATTAATATAACTACTCCTTTCTTTTGATTAGTGTTATCATGGTATTTTTTTCCTATCCACTTATTCTATGTGTCTCTATATTTATTTATTTATTTTTAAGATTTTATTTATTTATGAGAGAGAGAGAGAGAAAGAGCACATAGATGGAGGGTGGGGCAGAGGAGAGAATCTTTAAGTAGACTCTGCACTGAGCATGGAGCCTGCTTCAGGGCTCCATCCCACAACTCACAAGACCATGACCTGAGCCAAAAACAAAAGTCAGGCACTTAAATGACTGAGCCACCCAGGCACCCCTCTTTATATATAAAGTCAGTTTCTTGTAGACAACATATATTTAGGTCTTGGTTTTGGGTACACTCCGATAATCACTTTTAATTGGTGTACTTAGATCATTATCGTTTAAGGTGATTATTGATATATTTGGATTAATATCTACCATATTTGTTATTGTTTTCTATTTACTGCCCTTGTTCTTTTGTCTTTCACACTTTTTCTGTATTTTGTAGTTTTAATTGAGATTTTATAATTCCATTTTCTGCAGTTCTTGGATATTTGTTTTCTTCAGACTTTTTTTTTCTTTGCTTTTCAGTTTTGGAAGTTTCTATTACCGTATCCTCAAGCTCAGAGATTCTTTCTTAGCCATAGCCAGTCTAATAATGAGGCCATCAAAAGCATTCTTCATTTGTTAGTGTTCTTGATCTCTAGCATTTCTTTTTGTTTGTTTCTTAGAATATCCATCTCTCCACTTACATTATTTATCTGTTCCTTTATATTGTATGTTTTTCCATCAAAGTCCTAAGCCTATTAATCATAGTCATTTTAAATTCCCAGTATGATAATTCCAACATCCCTACCATATCTGACTCTGGTTCTGATGCTTGTTCAGTCTCCTGAAACTATGTTTTCTCCCTTTTGGTATGCTTGTAATTCTTGTTAAAATCCAGACATGATGTACTAGGTGAAAGGAACTCTGGCAAATAAGCCTTTAATGGTGTGGTGTAAGGTATAGGAGAAGGGGAAACATTGTATAGTCCTATGATAAGGTCTCAAGTCTTTTGAAGAGCATATGCATCTGGTCTGTGAATTTCACCAGTGCTTCTCAATATCCCCCACTCCCACCTTTGGTGGCACAAGATGGCTAGAGGAAGCTGGAATCGGGTATTTCTCTTCTGTCACATAGAAGGCTAGAGTTGAGGTATTTACCTTCCTCCAAATAAGTTAGGCCCTAATGAAACCCCCATAGGTTAGACTTTGGTAAAAGAGTTTCTCTTGAGGGCAGAACTTAAGAACAGTATGGTCTGGTATTTTTCAAAATGGTTACTTTCCCCCTTCTCCTGAGAGAAATATGAGGGAATTTTTCTCCAGTCTTCACTGTGAAGACCTGATAGTTTCTAGAGATCCCTTTGACTGGGACCCCTGGAGTTTTGAACTCTCAGACTTGTTCATACTGAGCCTCCTGCAATTCATCAATTAAAGTGTAAGTTTTCAGGGCACTTGGGTAGCTCATTTGGTTGAGCATCTGCCTTCGGCTCAGGTCATGATCCCAGAGTCCTGGGATCGAGCCCCCATTGGGTTCCCTGCTCAGCAGGGGGCCTCCTTCTCCCTCTCTCTCCCCCCTGCTTGTGCTCTCTCTCAAATAAATAAACTAAAAAAAGTGTAAGTTTTCTACCAGGCACTGGTTCCTGCAGAAGTGTCTGCTCCTGGGTTTCTGTTCCAGGAAGCTGTGATTCTCTGTATCGCCTGTCTATCTCTCCAATCTGGGGAGCAATGGTTTGTCCTGTGGCCTCCCTTCTCTGAAGGATCTAAGAAGTTGCTAGTTTTCAGTTTGTTCAACTTTTTACATGTTGTTAGGATGGAGTAGCAACTTCTTGCATATATTTTTCAAAAGATTTCTGTGCACTTGCTTTTTGGTTGCAAAACTGTGCTCCTATGGAACATGTTTTTTAACCTGCTTAAGTATTTCACTTGACAGTACATCTTTAAAATTTTTCTATGGTAATATAGACTTACATCATCATTTTTATTGACGGCATGATATTCATTGTATAGTTCTATCACAATTTATTGAACTGTCCTAGTGATAGAAGTTTCACATTTTTCAATTACAAACAATGCTGCAGCAAATATCCTTGCATAAGTTTGTATACTTATATGGTGATTTCCCCATGAAAATTCCATTAAAATAATATTAATTTTTTTCCAATTACAAAAGTAAGGCATGTTCATCATAGAAAATTTGAAAAATACAGAGAAGTCCATGCCCAGAAATAACCATTGTCAATATTTGGTCATGTTCTAACATTAGGTATAAGAAGACTGTCTAATAAATAATAAGCTATTGCCAAGCCCTGCTCTTCCTGGGAGACATTCTGCCTTAATAAGGTGATTTTTATAAATAGAGATTACACATCAATTTTACTAGTTTAACTTTGTGAGTTCTGGAGGCACTCTTATTTTCCATATGAATCATTTATATTCCTACAAATGTATTTAAGCGCAATTTGTAATAAGATTAATTTTCTTGTCTTGTTTCCAGGTTTAAGAAGATTCCCAAGTGACTGTAAAATTAAACACAAGCATGTTGAAAGTAAATTTCAGTGTTGCAGTAAAATTCCTATTTTGCTCTTTCATGTATATGCATTGCTTTGCCTATTTTTTTTTTAAGATTCTATTTATTTATTTGAGAGAGAGAGGGCATGAGCGGGAAGAGAGGCAGAGGGAGAGGAAGACTCCCCACTGAGCAGGGAGCCTGATACAGGACTCTATCCCAGGACCCCAAGACCAAGACCCCAGCCAAAGTCAGAAGCCAGATGCTTAACCAACTGAGTCACCCAGGCACCCCCAACTGCTTTGCCTATGCTGTGCTTTTACATTCTGCCTATTGTTCTTTAGGTTAAACATCTTCATTTCCAGACTATTAATATGAGCACTCAAGAAAGAATATTGTTTGCTCTAGATTATTAGAAACACAAAACAACAAACACTGTGGTAGGCTGTCATAAAAGGGACATAATATGGCCACTGACATGATGGCAAAGTGGCACAGTCTACCTCCCAGAACCTAAACCCAAAGATGCCTCAGAAACAAGAAATGAATGGATATTAAAAAAAAAAGAGAGAGAGGGGCGCCTGGGTGGTTCAGTCAGCTAAGTGGCTGCCTTTGACTCAGGTCATGATCCCAGGGTCCTGGGATCAAGCCCCATGTCTCTCCCTGCTCAGCAGAGAGCCTGCTTCTCCCTCTCCCTACCACTCTGCCTACTTGTGCTCTCTATCTTTTTGTCAAATAAATAAATAAAATCTTAAAAAAAAGAGAGAGAGAGAGAAGAAAACCAGCAGAAACCCCTGCAGGGTCAGAAGGTGATTGTGATTTGGTAAAGAAGGGAAATAGTAGCCCTGTACAGAGGAAAGCCAGGCTCCAAACATGGGGAGTGAATTTGCAGAGAAATTTTGAGTTGGGCTCTACCCCTCAACATTGCCCAGACTCAGATCACCGCCTTCCCTATCAGCCCTACCACAATAGTGGAAAGCAGATTCATAGGGGAACACTATTGGGATGTAGAGTAAAACAAGCACAGTAAACACTGACTTAACCAATAAGCGTCAAAGAGCTTCCTCCTACCTCACCCAACCCATAGACCTTCTTTTCATACAGAGGACTAGATGATACATTCTTAGAAAAGAAAAAGCCTAGGGTAAGATACAGGGAGGTTCGCTAAAGAGCAAAGCCTCCTGATGAGAATGAGGATGTTCAAAGTCGGAACACTGCTCACCAGGGGTGGCACAGCTAAGGCTTAGGTTTTGATTCCTCCCACTCCTTTCTCCATCCATTACCTACCAAGATGACTGATAATTGATACCCATGAGGGAAAATGACCTCACAGGGAAAAATAACTAGAAAATTAGAAAGGCAATAAACTAAATAACCTACTCTAGACGACAAGAATTAATAGAATACATGCCAAATAAATGTCCCTAAAGAGGACACTGATAATGAAGCAGACACAATTATAAAGAAACAGGTAGGATTACTGAATATTCAAAACACTGTTGAAATAAACTCATTAGATGACATAAACAGCAAAATGGACAGAGCCCAAGATCAGGTCAAGAAATGTTTCCAGAAGGGACGCCTGGGTGGCTCAGTCGGTTAAGCGGCTGCCTTCAGCCCAGGTCATGATCCCAGGGTCCTGGGATTGAGTCCCACATCAGGCTCCTTGCCCAGCAGGGAACCTGCTTCTCCCTCTCTCTCCCTCTGCTTGTGCTCTCTCTGTCAAATAAATAAAATCTTAAAAGAAATGTTTCCAGAAGACATTGAGAAGGAATTAGAGATGAAAAATATAAAAATTAAGAAATATAGAGGCTAGACAAAGAAATATCAGCATTTCTATAATAGGAGTGCTAACAGGAGAGAAAAAGGTAAATGGAGGGAAGATGATACATGAAAAAAGTGAGGACTTCCAAAGAAAGATTGATACTGAAAGGGTATACGGGGTGATAAATAGGGTTGATATGGGAAAATGAATACTTACTGATATTTTAATGAAATTTAAGAACTCCAAAGGCAAAGAGAAAATTGTAAAACCTTTCTAAGAAGAGCAGCTCACCAATTAAGAAAATCAATCAGAATGTGTCAGACTTCTCAAGAGCAACATTAGGAGCAGGAAAGCAATGAAGAAATATTTTCAAAATATTAAAAACAGAAACTTTTTAAAGATTTTATTTATTTATTTATTTGTCCGAGAGAGAGAGAGACTGAGAGCACAAGCAGGGGGAGTGGCAGGCAGAGGGAGAAGCAGGCTCCCTGCTGAGCAAGGAGCCTGATGTACGACTCAATCCCAGGACTCTGGGATCATGACCTGAGCCAAAGGCAGACACTTAACCAACTGAGCCACCCAGGCATCCCTAAAAACAGAAACTTTGACTCTAAAATTTTATATTCAGCTGAGCTATCAATTAAATGTGAAGGTACAATAAATATATTCTCAGACCTTCAAGGTCTCAGCAGATCATCATAAAGACCCTATGAAAATATTCCTGGAGGAAGTAATCTATCAAAAATTTTAGGAAATGCTATAAAATATAAGATGGTAAGAATGAGAAAATAACTTCCTGAAGTTTATTGTCTAAAAATAAAAAAATATTGTCTGGGTGGCTCAGTCAGTTAACTGTCAGACTCTTGTTTTCAGCTCAGGTTGTGATCTTGGGCTATGGGATCGAGCCCCGCATTGGGCTCCATGCTCAGCAGGGAGTCTGCTTGAAATTTTCTCTCTCCCTTTCTCTCTGTCCCTCCTCCAACTTGTGCTCTCTCTTTCTCTCTCTCTGGAATGGATGAATAAATCTTTAAAAAAAAAAAACAAAAAAACAGGGGGCTCCTGGGTGGCTCAGTCGGTTAACCTGCTGACTCTTGATTTCAGCTCAGGTCATGATCTCAGGTCCTGGGATTGAGTCCCACATAAGGCTCTGCCCTCAGTGGGGAGTTGGCTTGGGGTTTTCTCTCTCCCACACCCTCTGCCCGTCTTCCTGCTGGTGCTCTCTCTCTCTCAAATAAATAAATATTTTTTTAAAAAGGCATTTTAGGGGCACCTGGGTGACTCAGTTTGTTAAGCATCCGCCTTCGCCTCAGGTCATGATCCCAGGGCCCTGGGATCGAGCCCCACATCGGGCTTCCAGCTCAGTGGGAAGTCTGATTCTCCCTCTGCCCCTCCCCCATCCATGCGCTCTTGAGCTCTCAAGCTCTCTCACTCTCTCTCTCTATAAATAAAATATTTTTAAAAAAAGGCATTTTATACACATACATACACACCCCAGATATAACAAAGTAGAGCACAGAATGCAATATCCAGAGATAGGGAAGAGTGCATGTGTTAAAGTATTTATCCTACTAAGGAGGAAGATAGATAGGTATTGATAAATTTCATAAATTAGGGGAAAAAATACAAGTAAATCCCTTAACAAGTTAGGGATAACCAATGAAAAACAAATATAAAATGCATGCCTTTCAAACCCATAGATAAAACTGATTTATCCAAGGAAATGAACAAGAAGCAAAAGAGAGAAAATTTAAACAGTTCTAACATAGAAGTAATTTAATATATTAGTTAAACACACCAAAGAAAAGATAAAATTCTCAGATTGAATTAAAAAACAAAATCTAGCAGTATAATGTCTATATGAGACACATTTAAAAGAAAGGTTGGACAAGTTAGAACAAAAAGATGGGAAAAGGCAACTATGAGCCAAAAGAAAGCCAAGCAGATGTCTAATATCAGACCAAAAATAGAATTCAAGGCAAAAAGCATCATTAAGGGCAAGGAGAGACAATAGACAAAGAACATGTAATATACAGAAAATATAATGCATCTGTATTAACATAGATGCTTATTACAATATAACTTCAAAATATACAAAATAGTAACTGACCCCTGGCTCTCCCTGCAGCCCTCTAAAATGATGTCTATTTTTTTAGAGCAGGAGGAGGGGCCAAGGGAGAGGAAGAAAGAATCTTAAGCAGACTCCATGCCCAACACGGAGCCCAATGCACGGCTCAATCTCACAACCCTGAGATCATGACCTGAGCAGAAACCAAGACTTGGATGCTTAACCGACTGAACCACCCAGGCGGACATCCCTAAAATGATGTCTATCTTAACTCCTATACCCCCCTCATCAGTTGGCCTGGAAATGAGGTGGGGGTCTTCCTCACTCCTCAATTCTACTTCTAGATCATTCTTCCCTACTCTCTAATAATACTCAACTTTAAATCTCCTGTCATAACACTGTATACCACCCATTGCCTTCTCTGTTGTAGTCTCTTGCCTGCTCCTTGCTTACTGTCACCCTATCCAGTACTTCTGTCATAATCCCTAGCAATTTCAATATTCATTTAGTTCTTTCCAACACCTGGCCTTGCAATGTTTTGATCTGTTCTCCTTCGGTGACTTAATCCTCTAGCCATTTAGTAATACCCTTGACTTTGTCATTGTAAAAACAAAATAAAACAAAACAAAAAACCCCCCTGCAACCATTCCATAATCCAGTTTCAAATAACTCATTCTCCAAACATCACCTCTTTACAGATCACCCCAGCTAGTACCCCAACTCTAACAATCCTTTGATCTCTACAGAGACCTTGTACTTCATTGATGCTACCACCTTCATAGTGCCCCTCACCCTTTCATGTCCTCAATTCCTTTGTAATCTACTTTAAATTCCATGATAGATAATCTGTCCCTTGCATATGCGCTCAACTCAAACTCACTTGCTCCTCTTCTTGCTCCAGAGTACTCCTTGGTTGACCACAGCCCAGCTTAAATCAAATTTTCTCAGCTTACTCCATTCCTGTACCCTGGAAGCTGAATGTATCTTGAGAAAAACATTCAAACTTGCTGACTAGTCTGACATTAAATAATCAGTAACCTCAACTGGCCCCATAATGCTGCCTGGCAAACATACTATATTTCCCTAATCCATTTATTCTGACTTTTCTGGACAGCAATTTTATATTTTCTCCTATCTCCTCAAATTTCTGAGGTCTTCTCTTTCATCTTCTTTCTTGGCT